GGGGGGCGCCTGGGTGGCTCAGTCAGTTAAGCGTCTGCCTTGGGCTTAGGTCATGATCCCGAGGTCCTGGGATCAAGCCCCACATTGGGCTCCTTGCTGAGCGAGGAGCCTCTTTCTCCCTCTCCCTCTGCCCCTTCCCACCACTTCTGGTCTCTCTGGCTTGCTCTCTCTCTCTACCTCAAATAAATAAATAAAATCTTTAAAAAAAAAGAAAGAAAGGAACCTGATGGGGGCGGCTGGCTGGCTCAGTAGAGCATGTAACTCTCAATTTCTGGGTTATGAATTCAAGCCCCACCTTAGGGTTAGAGAGTACTTTAAAAAATAAAATTAAGGGGGCGCCGCGGTGGCTCAGTCGTTAAGCGTCTGCCTTCGGCTCAGGTCATGATCCCGGGGTCTTGGGATCGAGTCCCACATCGGGCTCCCTGCTCCGCGGGAGGCCTGCTTCTCCCTCTCCCACTCCCCCTGCTTGTGTTCCCTCTCTCGCTATCTCTCTGTCAAATAAATAAATAAAATCTTTAAAAAATAAAAATAAAAAATAAAATTAAGGAGCACCTGGGTGGCTCAGTTGCTTAAGCAATGAACTCTTGGTTTTGGCTCAGGTGATGATCTCAGGGTCATAAGATTGAGCCCCGCTCAGCAGAGTCGGCTTAGATTTCTCTCTCTCTCTCTCTCTGCCCCTCCCTGCTGCATGCACCCTCTCTCAAACAAATAAATAAATCTTTTAAAATAAATAAATAAATTGGGGCTCCTGGGTGGCTCAGTCATTAAGCGTCTGCCTTCAGCTCAGGTCATGATCCCAGGGTCCTGGGATCGAGCCCCACATTGGGCTCCCCGGTCCGCGGGAAGCCTGCTTCTCCCCCTCTCACTCTCCCTGCTTTTGTGTTCCCTCTCTCGCTGTGTCTCTCTCTGCCAAATAAACAAAATCTTAAAAAAAAAAAAAATTTAAATAATTATTTAATTAATTAAATTTAAAAAAAATCAAATTCTCAGCACCTGGCTGGCTCAGTTGGTAGAACAAGAGACTCTTGATCCCCGGGTTGTGAATTCAAGCCCCACAATGGACAGAGCTTACACTAAAAAATAAATTAAATAAATAAATAAATAGCATATATACCCCAGAAAGAAACAAAATATGTATGCTAACTAGGTGGAATTTAAATAAAAACTTGGAGGGGCCCCTGGGTGGCTCAGTCAGTTAAGCAACCAACTCTTGATTTCGGTTCAGGTAATGATCTTGAGGTCCTGGGATTGAGCCCCTTGCTGGGTCTGAGGGGAGTCTGCTTGTCCATCTGCCCCTCCCCCTGCCTATGCTCTCTCTCTCTCTCTCAAATAAATAAATAAAATCTTAAAAAAAAAAGTTAACATGGAACTACTAGAATACTGTTTTCAGGGTCTTTCCACCCTCAAATGTCATGTTAGGGAGACTGGATTTTATCCTGTAAGGAATGGGGATGTATTCACGGGTTTCAACAGGAAGTAATGTACCGGTGAACTTTAGAAATAGTTCTCATGTATTCATCATAGTTTAGCAAATATTTCTGAACAAACACTTTGCTGTAGATGCTGGGAATAAAGCAGTAAATGAAACTGTCAAAATTCCCGATCCACACTGGAGCTTACATGCCAGTGTTGGGAGACAAACAATAATCAAAATAAATACACATATACTCTGTATATTAAATAATGGGGCTGCGAGAAAAACAAAGCAGGGCAAGAGGTTAAGGAGAGGTGGGATTCTAAGTAGGGTGTTCAGCAAAGGCCCCAACGAGTGACATCTGAGCAAAGAATTAAAAGAGGCAAGAGTGAGCCATGCAGATTTCTGAAGGAAGAATGTCATAAGCAAAGGTAACCACGAAAAATCAGAAGTATGCCAGTCATGCTCCAGGAACAGAGAAACCAGAATGGCTGAGTCAGAGTTCACAGACAGAAGGTGGGGCAGATGTAGTCAGAGGTGAAAGGGAGCCACTGTGGGGTTTTGAGCAGAGAAATGACATGATCCAATGGATTTTTATTTTTATTTTTATTTTTTTAAATATTTTATTTATTTATTTGAGACAGAGAGAATGAGAGAGAGAGAGCACATGAGAGGGGGGAGGGTCAGAGGGAGAAGCAGGCACCCTGCCAAGCAGGGAGCCCGATGCGGGACTCGATCCAGGGACTCTAGGATCATGACCTGAGCCGAAGGCAGTTGCTTAACCAACTGAGCCACCCAGGCGCCCCAATCCAACAGATTTTTAAAGGATCTTTCTGGCTGTTGAAGTTGAGAACAGAACGTAGAGAGAAGTAAGGGTGGAAGCAGGGAGACCAGACAGAAAGCTACTCCAGTCAGCCAGGTGAGAGCTGATGCTGACTTGGACGAGGGTGGCAGCAGCAGAAGTGGTGACAAGGCACCAGAGTCTGGAAATAGTATAAATGGAGAGCCAATGTGATTGCTGAGGACAGGAATGTGGGCTGTGAGAGAAAGAGGAGTCAAGGACGACTCCAAAAACGTCTGGCCTAAGCAACTGAAAGAGTAAGGGTCACCTTTGATTGAGAACAAAAAGATGGCCAGGGAGGAGGTTTAGGGGAGAAGATCTGTAGTTCAGTTTATACAGAAGTTACATTTGGGAGGTCTACTAGCTATCCAAGTGTGGTCATGGTAAGTAGGCAAATGGAGAACAGAGCCAAGTTCAGGGGGGGAAGTACAGACTGTAGAGATTTACTAGCGATTTGGGGTCATCTGCATATAGATGGTATTTAAAGTCACAAGACAGGATGACATTACCTAGACAGGGAGTGAAGACAGAACGGACAAGTATGGGCATCGCCTGGGGCTGGTTAGAAATGCAGAATCACAGGCCCTGAGGCCTGCTGAATCAAAATCTATGTCTTAACAAGATCCCCAGGTGATCTGTATGATTCTTTAAAGTTCGCAAAGCACTGCTTTGGCGCACTCCATTGGTTCAGGTGAGAGATAATGAAGGGCAGTAACAGGAGGGATGATGGCAAGTGTTCACAAGTGGCTGAATGGAGGAGAGAAGGAAATGCAGGGAGAAGGAGGAGATTTCTGACTCAAGTGACTGGGTAGATGGTGTGCCACTAGTCGACAAAGAATATTAGAGGAGGTGTGGGGGGAAGGCATACAGAGGCTACTGTTTTATAGGTATTGAATTTGAGACACACACCGGACATCCAAGTAGAGATCTCGCAGGCAGACAGACGTAGAGAGAGAGATTAGAACCCAGAGATATTAAACACTATCTTCAGTGAGATATCATACTTAAGAGAAGGTTGTTTATTTAATTTTTTTTTAAGAATAAGACTATTGCTAGTTTGGGGAAGTCACAGAAGCTTCAAGAAAGTGAATAATTGATGGAGGAAGGTCCTTAAGGAGACTACAGAGAAAGAATTTTAGGTACAATGTAAAAGGATAGCTTAAAAATAATGGGGAGAAGTGCGCCTGGTTGGCTCAGTCAGTGGAACATGCAACTCTTGACCTCAGGGTCATGAGTTCAAGCCCCAGGTTTGGGTATAGAGTTTACTTAAACAAACAAACAAAAAAAAACCAGGGACATCTCTGTGACTCAGTTAAGTGTCTGCATTCGGCTTAGATCATGACCCCAGGGTCCTGGGATCAAGCCCCACATCGGGATTCCTGCTCGGTGGCGGGAAGCCTGCTTCTCCCTCTCCCACTCCCCCTGCTTATGTTCCCTCTCTCACTGTCTCTCTCTCTCTCTGTCAAATTAAAAAAAAAAAAAAATCTTAAAAAAAAAAAAGACTTACAATGGTACAAGCTATCTACTGGTAGATATTTAAGAGATCCACATGTTCAGAGAGCCTTTGGCTCATGTACTTCTTGTTAGCCACTCAAGCTTCATCTGCCCCAGCATTTTCCCTACCTAGTTGGAGCAACCTGCACTCTCTGGGCTCCCATCGCAAGTCCAAGTCAAAATGTCCTAAAATCCTCCAGCTGCCAAACAGTACTTATCCCAGTTTCCCAGTTATGACTCCCAGCTCTGAGGTTATTTCCCCCATGCTCTCTCCAGTGACTACCTACCTAACATGTTATTCCTATCTTCCCAGTTTCTTCTCTTCCCTCACCAACCCCTCCAAAGCCTTGATTCTGTTTTCGTTTGAGAACTGGAACCCAAACCAATTTCTCTTACTTATGAACTAGGAATACTTTTTCATTATCCGTTAAATGAAGACAAGAACCCAAGGAACAGGGGCACCTGGGTGGCTCAGCCATTAAGCGTCTGCCTTCGGCTCAGGTCATGATCCCAGGGTCCTGGGATCGAGCCCCGCATCGGGCTCCCTGCTCCGCGGGAAGCCTGCTTCTCTCTCTCTCCCACTCCCCCTGCTTGTGTTCCCTCTCTCACTGTGTCTCTGTCAAATAAAGAAATAAAATCTTAAAAAAAAAAAAAAAAAAAAGAACCCAAGGAACACCCTCAGTATAGAAGTGCTGAATCATATCAAGTCACTGAGAAAGAAGAGCAGGCAAACAGAATGCATGGATCGGGTGAGGCCTGCCCTCCACAGCTCCTATGATTGCACACACTAAAACCAACACAAATGCCTGAATAGAACACCATATTAGCATCCTCAAAATTAAGGGAAGTAGGGGCGCCTGGGTGGCTCAGATGGTTGGGCGTCTGCCTTCAGCTCAGGTCATGATCCCAGGGGCCTGCCCAGAGGAGGGCTCCCCGCTCAGGGGGGAGTCTGCTTCTCCCTCTCCTTCTGCCATTGCCCCTGCTTGTGCTCTCTGGCTCTAACTCTCTGTCAAATAAATCAATAAAATCTTAAAAAAAAAAAAAAATTAGGGGAAGTACACTGTGAGCAAATGTGTATTTCGCAAGTTCTTCCAATGGTGAAACAAAGAAGTATATTTTTCAGTTTTGTTTTGTTTGGCACTGACCCTATTTGTCCTTGGGAGTTCCGCATTTCTCAAAGCCTTGACCCGTCCACACGCATTCACGTATCAAAATTTAGAGATGATTACGTTAACAGAGCTGTCCACTTACTTTCACAAAGGAAATTCCGTGAACACGAAGCCTTTTGCAAGGGAGGTTACTGGAACCATTCCAACTGTGTCAAGTTTCTCTAAGTTGGGCTGCCACAGCGGTTTCACACCCAAACTGTAACTCTGAAAAACAACGTATGGTAATAAGTACGAAATCCTACAATTCGAACTGGCAGAAGTAATTCTCTCTGCTAGATTCCTATGGTAACTTTAGTTGGAAGTCTGTTTGGGGTGGCTGGAATAGAATTAGCCTGAAAGGCAACATCTCTGAAACAATTTTGCCGTCAACCCTCATGTTGTCTTGGGAACTACGGACTCAAGGAGCGGGGATGGCAACAGCTGGTAAAAGGGTTTCCGCCCACGATCTCAGTAACTTTAAAAGTGCTGCCCAACAGCTGGTAGTGTCCTCAAGGGGCCGTGAGCGTCAAACCGCTGCCTGGGGGGCGGGTCTCGTCTTTATGGATTTGGAAAGAGATTTCCGAGGAAAGAGAAGCCCTTCGGAACGGAAAACTTCCTCCTCCGCCCCCCCCCACCTCCGCCAAGCTCAAGAAGCCTCTACAAAGGGATTTTTTTTTCCCCCCAAGGTGAATCACCTGTTCAGAGGGCCAGAGGAAAAATTACCGAGGCTTTTGGTTCCACAGAAAGATGGAAAGAGGGCACCTGGGTGGCTCAGAGGGTTAAGCATCTGCCTTCGGCTCAGGTCATGATCCCAGGGTCCTCGGATCGAGTCCCGCATCGGGCTCCCTGCTCAGCGGGGAGCCTGCTTCTCCCTCTGCCTCTCTCTCTCTCTGTCTCTTATGAGTAAATAAATAAATACAATCTTTAAAAAAAAAAAAAAAAGAAAGATGGAAAGAATGAAGGGGCAAGACTCCTTGACCCAAACTGGAATATGACCTTGCCTCGGGGACCGTTATACCTGCCTCTCAAAGATTCCTCCATCTTGGACTCCCCCATGCTTGCGACAGAGTCCTGCGCTGACTCCCCTAGAGACTGGTTTTTCAGGGGGCTCGGGCTAGAGGGCTTACCACGTTCTCAGGGCCGACCCGCCCGAGCCCTCCCGGAGACGACCCGCAGCCCGGGCGCCAGACGGGGAACACCCCTGGCTACATTCTCATTGGCTCCTGGAGGCCGGAAGTGCATGCGTCCGGCGGAAGTGCTCGTACTGTGAGCGTCGGCCGGGCCGGGACCCTCAGGTAGGCGGGGCCCCGGGCTCCGAACTCTGGGACCAAGGCTTTGGCACAGGCGGAGAGGGGACCCCGAGGGCCCCAGGAGGCTGTCTGGGTTTTGGTCTGGGAGGGCTGGAAGAGTTTCGGGGGCAGGGGTTCATTGCGACCTCTGGTGGCAGCCGGGGCCTAGTCGAGCCCGGCCGCCGCAGGACCCAAGTGCGGGAGCTCCGAGCTCCCCCGTGGAGACGGCGTTTGGGGCGGTGGCCCGAGCTGCTCCGTGTCGCGTCCCGATGGTTGAGGTCCCTAGCTGCTCACGTCCAGCCGGGAAAAACGTGTGCTCTCCGCCCTAATCTTATCCGTGCTTCTGGCTTTGACAGCCGCGCTCCGGACACGTGGGGGTGCAGGGTTTTCCTCAGGAACGCCCGCAGCATCGCTAGGGGACGCCTCAGCAAGGCTGCCCGAGGCGCTGTCAAGAGAGAAAACGTCTTCTGCCCCTCTTCGCCCCGCTCCCTCTCTCCCATGGTGTCTTCCTAAAAAGAGAAGGGTGTGTGTCCGATGCAGGCTGCTCAGGTGGACGTTATCTGGACTGCTTTAGGCTAGTTTCTGTAAAGTCAATGAAACTACTTGTTAATGGTTCCCTGTTTCCCAGCCAACTCCACCGCCAAGTGGTTTGAACTTTGAGCCTCTTGTAGTCCTGATGAATAATTTCGCTTTCCTCAAGTTTATGACGCTTGGAACTTCGACAGTTGGAGGTTTATGCACTTTGGGACCGGCCAAGAGCGTGCAGAGTTCAAAGTACTAAGAGACAAGGTGAGCATGAATGAGTGCATCTTCCGCTCCAGATGACAGTTTTTGAGGGCTATTTCGGCAGTTTCTGTGAAAGCTGCACCGCCTGTATTGGATACTAGGTGGTGCCAGCGAGTTAATCTTTCCGGGATAAATTTCAAACGACGGGCAGCACCAGGTTAAGGCTTTCAAAGTGCCCCATCTTCCCTGAAATTTATTTAAAATAGTTTTACCTCCTTTAAAATATCTGGTGCCTTTATACGCTGTATCCAGTTATCAAATACCTATTCCCTCTTAAGTGCTGAGGATGCTAAAGGAGGAATCAGACTCATTTTCTCCTCTCCCAGAGTTTATAGTCTGGAGAGAATGACCAGTAAACAATGTGCTGTAATGAAATCACATATAATTTAAGGAAGAAATAAGGGCTAAATAGAGAATAAGATGTGAAATGCCGTGGAAGAAGCAATCAGTTCTCATTATTCATTTACCAGGTATTTATCCAGTACTTTCTGTCTGCCCAACGTTATGCTGGATGCTGATGCATAAAGAAAAAGTAGGGGTGCCTGGGTGGCTTCGTCGGTTAAGCATCTGCCTTGGGCTTAGGTCATGATCCCGGGGTCCTGGGATCGAGCCCTGTCAGGCTCCCTGCTCTTCTCCCTCTCCCTCTATCCCCTCCCCCAGCGCCTGCGATCACATGTGTGCGCTCTCTCGCGTTCTATCTCAAATGAATAAATAAAATATTTTTTTCAAAGATTTTATTTATTTATTTGACAGAGAGAGACAACGAGAGAGGGAACACAAGCAGGGGGAGCAGCAGAGGGAGAAGCAGGCTCCCCGCTGAGCAGGGAGCCTGATGTGGGAGGGACTCTGTCCCAGGATGATGGGATCATGACCTGAGCTGAAGGCAGACACTTAAGGACTGAGCCATTCAGGTGCCCCAAATAAATAAAATCTAAAAAAAAAAAAAAAAATCCCTGCTCACAATTTAGTGATTGGGAGGGAACCAAGTAAGACATGGAGAAACTGAACCTTGAGCTAGACCTTGAAGAATGGATTACCTGGGCTTGATAGGTAGGGAAAAAAAAGAAAAAAAAAAAGCTGGCTCAAAAGAGAAGGATGAAAGTGCATGGCACGTTTTGAAACACCAAGTTGTGCTCGCTTCGGCTGCACATACACAAAAATGGAAACAGCACATAGTTTAGCGTGGTTAGACTGTAGGAAACTGAGCCTGAAAAGACACTGTCGGTTTTAGGTTTGGTTTTACTTTTACTGGAAAATTCAGCAGATATAAAATAAAGTTTAATTGTATGTGTCCCAGGAGAAATTATACATGAAGCATAGCTGTAATAAATTATGTGTAATAGGGCGCCTGGGTGGCTCAGTTGGTTGAGCGACTGCCTTCGGCTCAGGTCATGATCCTGGAGTTCCGGGATCGAGTCCCGCATCGGGCTCCCTGCTCGGCAGGGAGTCTGCTTCTCCCTCTGACCCTCCCCCCTCTCATGCTCTCTCTCTCTGTCTCATTCTCTCTCAAATAAATAAATAAAATCTTTAAAAAAAAAAAAAAAAAATTATGTGTAATAGGGCGCCTGGGTGGCTCAGTTGGTTAAGCAACTGCCTTCGGCTCAGGTCATGATCCTGGAGTCCCTGGATCGAGTCCCGCATCGGGCTACCTCCTCGGCGGGGAGTCTGCTTCTCCCTCTGACCCTCCCCCCTCTCATGTGCTCTCTCTCATTCTCTCTCTCTCAAATAAATAAATAAAATCTTAAAAAAAAAAAAAAAAGAATTTAAATTATGTGTAATAAATTACACTTCTGGCTAACCTGTTATACATGAAATTACACTTTTGGCTATAATGTAGCTCATTTGTATTTACATATCGTTAATCATTATAGATAAGCCAATTTTAAAAGATACAGTAGTAAGAATAGATTTTCACTGATTACATTCTATTTTGAGTGTAATGTAAGGAATCCTCTTCGTTGAAGTTCACATATCAGATCATCTGGTAATGATTATGTGTGGGAAAATTTTAAATGCTTTAATAAGTTACCCTAGGATTTAGGGTTTTTGTTTTTGTTTTGTTTTTTTGGTGTTTGTTTTTTTTAATTTTTGTTTAAGTAATCTCTACACCCAACATGGGGCTCGAACTCATGATCCCAAGATCAAGAGTTTCGTGCTCCACTGACTGAGCCAGCAGGCGCCCCAGGGTTTAGGTTTTAATGAATGGTTATATCTAATATTAAGCAAAATGTGTTTCCTGAAAGGAATGTAAGTTTAATTTTTATAAATGGAAAAACTTAAATGCTATAAATGTTAAGGTAAATGCATGTAATATCAACATGCCAAAATCAGTAATTTTTCTCTACACTAGCAATAATCAGAAATTTTTGTTTTTAAGTAAGCTCTACGCCCAACATGGAGCTGGAACTCACAACCCCGAGATCAAGGGTCGCATGCTCCACCGACTGAGCCAGCCGGGTGCCCCACAATAATCAGAAATTGTAGTAACAAAAAGTCTATTCCCAGTATTAACAAAAAAACAAAATGTCTTAGAATAGCCAATGTTCAAGGCCTTTGTGAATGAAACAATACTTTTTAAATTAGAGATCATGAAAGAAAGCTGAGATAAATGGAGTGATATATTGCTTAATAGGAAGATTCAAATTTCAAGGATACAGATCTTCTCATATTAGTCTCTAATTTTAATGTAATCCCTGTCAAAATTTCAATTGCATTTTTTTTTTTTTTAGATTTTATTTATTTATTTGAGAGAGGGAGCGGGAGAGAGAGAGATCACGAGCAGGGGGGAAGGGTAGAGGGAGAAGCAGACTCCCCGCTGAGCAGGGAGCCCAATGCAGGACCCGATCCTAGGACCCTGGGACCATGACCTGAGCAGAAGGCAGACGCTTAACGAGCTGAGCCACCTAGGCACCCCTCAATTGCATTTTTTTTTTTTAAGATTTTATTTATTTATTTGACAGAGAAAGACACAGCGAGAGAGGGAACACAAACGGGGAGTGGGAGAGGGAGAAGCAGACTCCCTGCTGAGCAGGGAGCCCGATGCGGAACTCGATCCCGGGACTCCAGGATCATGACCTGAGCCGAAGGCAGTCGCTTAACCAACTGAGCCACCCAGGCGCCCCTCAATTGCATTTTTAAGGGAATTTGACAAGCTGATTCTTTAGTTCATGCAGAAGAGAAAATGCGTAGGAATAGCCAAGAGTTATGGGGGGAAAAATTCTGTAATAATAAAGGCAACTCCTTATCAGTTATCAATGTACACCAGCTCTACTGCTAACAATTAAAATAGCAAGGTAATGTCTTAGGACCAGAACATTATCAGTGAAATCAACTTCAGTCTGTTTCTACTGAATCTATTAAAAGTGGCATGGGGCACCCATGTTGGCTCAGTTGATTAAGCGTCCGACTCAATCTCAGCTCAGGTCTCAATATCATGGTTGTGAGTTCAAGCCACGTGTTGGGCCCCATGCTGGACATGGAGCCTATTTAAAACAAACAACCAATAAAAGTGGCATAAGTACTGACTAGTAAACAGTGTTGGGGCAACTGGCTGCCCATTTGAAAGAAAGTAAAAGTTAGACTCCTATTTTACAGCATTAACAAAAAAAGTTGCAGGTGGCTTAACTGCATGTAAAAAGAGAAAAATTTATGTACATCTTAGAATACAAAATATATACATTTTTAAATCTTGAGATGGTTAGGGCCTGCCTTCATGGGACATAAAACTAAAAAGTCTTAAAGAAGAAGACAGATTTGGCCATTAAAAATAATAATTTGTTGTGGGGCATCTGGGTGGCTCAGTCGGTTAAGAGTCTGCCTTCAGCTCAGGTCATGATCTCAGGGTCCTGGGATCAAGTCCTGCATCGGGCTCCCTGCTCCGCGGGAAGCCTGCTTCTCCTTCTCCCTCTGCCTCTGCCTGTCCCCCTGCTTGTGCTTTCTCGCTCTCTCTCAAATAAATAAATAAAATCTTAAAAAAAAATAAAAAGTAAAAATAATTTATCATGACAAAAAAACATTAAGTGAAATTTAAAGTCAAGAGACAAGGGATAATATTTGCAACATAACTACAAAGGCTTCATACTTCTATAAATCAGTAAGAGAAAGATAATCCAGTAGAAACATGGGCACATTTCCAAAGAAGAAACTC